TCCTGCCTCAGCTTCCTGAGTAGCTCGGATTACAGGCACACGCCACCATGCCCAGCTAATTTTTTGTATTTTTAGTAGAGACGGGGTTTCACCATGTTGACCAGGATGGTCTCGATCTCTCGACCTCGTGATCCACCCGCCTCGGCCTCCCAAAGTGCTGGGATTACAGGCGTGAGCCACCGCGCCCGGCTCACAGCTTGGTTTTATACATTCTGGGGAGACACAAGACATCAATCAATACGTATAAGATGTACATTGGTTTGATTTGGAAAGGTGAAACAACTTGAAGTGGGTGGAGAGGCTCCAGGTCATAGGTAGATTCAAAGATTTTCTGATTTGCAATTGGTTTGAAAGAGTTTATCTGAAGACCTGGAATCAATAGAAGGCAGTATCTGGGTTACAATAAGGGGTTGTGGAGACCAAGGTTCTTATTATACAGATAAAGCCTCCGGGTAGCAGGCTTCAGAGAAAATAGATTGTAAATGTCTCTTATCAGACTTAAAAAGGTGCCAGACTCTTAGTTAATTCTCTTCTGGATCAGGAAAAAGACCTGAAAAGGGAAGGAATTCTCTACAGGATGTAGATTTTCCCCACAAGAGACAGCTTTGCAAGGCCATTTCAAAATATGCCAAATAAATACACATTGAGGTAAAATACTTCAATTTCTCTTAGGGTCTGCTATCTGTCATGTGATGCTATACTACAGCCTAGCTGGAATTTGGTGTCTGATGGCTAAAAAAAAAAAAAAAAAAAGCGCCTGGCGCGGTGGCTCAAGCCTGTAATCCCAGCACTTTGGGAGGCCGAGGTGGGTGGATCACGAGGTCAAGAGATCAAGACCATCCTGGTCAACATGGTGAAACCCCGTCTCTACTAAAAATACAAAAAAATTAGCTGGACATGGTGGCGCATGCCTGTAATCCCAGCTACTCAGGAGGCTGAGGCAAGAGAATTGCCTGAACCCAGGAGGCAGAGGTTGCGGTGAGCCGAGATCGCGCCATTGCACTCCAGCCTGGGTAACGAGTGAAACTCTGTCTCAAAAAAAAAAAAAAAAAAAAAAAAAAAAAAAAAAAAAAAAGCTGTTTTATTGGTGTTAGAACTGAAAAGGGCATTTCTCATTCCCAAGTTGTTAGTTACGGAGGGACAGTAGGTGTGATGGAGAAAAACACAGTGGGATTCAGGCCAGACACACATGGAAAGAGTCATCTCAGAACACTTTTTCAAGAAACTTAGGCCGGGCGAGGTGGCTCACACCTGTAATCCCAGCACTTTGGGAGGCCGAGGTGGGTGGATCACAAGGTCAAGAGATCGAGACCATCCTGGTCAACATGGTGAAACCCCGTCTCTACTAAAAATGCAAAAAATTAGCTGGGCATGGTGGCACGTGCCTGTAATCCCAGCTACTCAGGAGGCTGAGGCAGGAGAATTGCCTGAGCCTGGGAGGCAGAGGTTGCGGTGAGCCGAGATTTCGCCATTGCACTCCAGCCTAGGTAACAAGAGTGAAACTCCGTCTCAAAAAAAAAAAGAAAGAAACTTATCTGGGAAGAATGAGAAGGCGTACTGGAGCTGGAGGTGGGACCATGTCTTTTGAGATAGGAGCCTTGGCCGAGACCCATACAATGTGTGAGGAGAGGTATCACACCTCTTCCGCCCCTACAAATTGATACTCTCATATTTAAAATCTGAATTAAGGCCTGGCACGGTGGCTCACACCTGTAATCCCAGCACTTTGGGAGGCTGAGGTGGGTGGATCACTTGAGGTCAGGAGTCTGAGACCAGCCTGACCAACATGGTGAAAACTCGTCTCCATTTAAAAAAAAAATCAATATAAATAAATAAATAAATAAATAAATTAGTTGGGCATGGTGGTGCATGCCTATAATCCCAGCCACTTGGGAGGTTGAGGCAGGAAAATTGAATCTGGGAGGCAGAGGATGAAGTGAGCCAAGATCGCACAACTGCACTCCAGCCTGGGCGACAGACTGAGACTCCATCTCAAAAAAAAAAAATTAATTAATTAACTAATTAGCTGAGGGTGGTGGCGGGTGCCTGTAATCCCAGCTGCTTGAGAGGCTGAGGCAGGAGAATTGCTTTAATCCAGGAAGCAGAGGTTGCAGTGAGCCGAGATCGCTCCCTTGCACTCCAGCCTGGGTGTCACAGACTCTGTCTCAAAAACAGATAAAGAAACATGAAAATAAAATCTGAGTTAAATTTAAATAATTGTATTGTTCCAGAGTTGTTTTGTGTGTGTGTGTGTGTGTGTGTGTTTTTAATATCACTGGTCATAAGGAATATCTAAATAACACAACAGAGGTTTCTCTCTTTATCTCTCTTTCTTTTTCCATAGCAAAAGAAGCTTATCTTCTTATCTGGTCTCAATGACTTGGGAGACATTTCAAAATGTAAGTTAAGAGTCAGGTGGCTCCGGGCGCGGTGGCTCAAGCCTGTAATCCCAGCACTTTGGGAGGCCGAGGCAGGTGGATCACGAGGTCGAGAGATCGAGACCATCCTGGTCAACATGGTGAAACCCCGTCTCTACTAAAAATACAAAAAATTAGCTGGGCATGGTGGCACGTGCCTGTAATCCCAGCTACTCAGGAGGCTGAGGCAGGAGAATTGCCTGAACCCAGGAGGTGGAGGTTGCAGTGAGCCGAGATTGCGCCATTGCACTCCAGCCTGGGTAACAAGAGCGAAACTCCATCTCAAAAAAAAAAAAAAAGAGTCAGGTAGGCAGGTGCCCATTGAGTTGGGATGGACCGCAGCTGACTGTGCAGCCTCCCTTGAGCTCCCAGGACTTTGCTGAAGGGAGTGGGGTCAATTTGCATGAGAAGCTCAGGAATACTGCTCCTCAGGTGCCCAGTTAGAGACACCTAGTGAGCTTCACCAGAGTAGTACTGACCACAGCTACAAAGCTCTGGTGACAACAAACCTCCTAAAACTGAGAAAGTAAGCACGCAAACAAAAATAACTGTAGGCCGGGCGCAGTGACTCACGCCTGTAATCCCAGCACTTTGGGAGGCCAAGGTGAGTGGATCTCAAGGTCAGGAGTTCGAGATCAGCCTGGCCAATACTGTGAAACCCCATCTCTACTAAAAATACAAAAATTGACCCAGCATGATGGCTTACACCTGTAGTCCCAGCACTTCAGGAGGCCGAGGCGGGTGGATCACATGAGGTCAGGAGTTCAAGACCAGCCTGACCAATGTGGAGCCCATCTCTTCTAATAATACAAAATTAGTGGAGCATGGTGGCACATGCCTGTAATCCCAGCTACTCGGGTGGCTGAGGCAGGAGAGTCTCTTGAACCCGGAAGGCAGAGGTTGCAGTGAGCCGAGATCACACCACTGCACTCCAGCCTGGGCAACAAAGTGAGACTCTGTCTCAAAAAAAAAAAAATTGGTTGCAAACAGGACTCAGTAATTGAGAGGCTACATTCAGTCCGTGTGTGTCTGGTGCCATGGTGAACACACTCCTCTCACCCTGTCGCCGTGGCACAAAGAGTGCTCTGGGAGACACGGGCTGGAATTGGACCTGCATTGCAGCCAGGCGGCCTTGGAGACCCAGAAGGAGGCCTCCTTGGGCAAATTTAATGCTCCCCCTGAAGGGATCCCTTTGAAGATCCCCAGGGCTTTCACACGAAGGGCAAAGGGTTTAATCCCAAAACATAGGTTCGGGTATTACAGAGTAAAAAGAGGGCACAAGACATGCATTTTCATTATATCTACTTAGTGAAGGAAGGGCAGACATTTTCATTATTTTTGGTTTTGTTTGTCTGTTTTTGAGACAGTCTCGCTGTTGCCCAGGCTGGAGTGCAGTGATGGAATCTCGGCTTACTGTAACATCTGCCTCCTGGTTCAAGTGATTCTCCTGCCTCCACCTCCCAAGTAGCTGGGATTACAGGCACCTGGCTAACTTTCATATTTTTAGTAGAGACGGGGTTTTACCGTGTTGGCCAGGCTGGTCTCAAACTCCTGACCTCAAGTGATCCAACCACCTCAGCTTCCTAAAGTGCTGGGATTACAGGTGTGAGCTACCACACCTGGCCCATTTTCATTATTTTTAAACAAAGGCAAGCAATTTACTTTCTCAGTGCTCACCTGAAGTTGAGAACCTCAACCCCTTACCACGAATAATCTGTTCACTGAGCCCCAAGGACAAAGCAGCCAGGGTTGAGAGAGCAGCCAGGTTGAGGAAACCTCAACCTTCCTCTCTAACTACTCCCACCTAACCATTCCCTCAATACCCCTTTCTTTCCCAAGGCTATTACCATTTCCAAAAGCAATGTCAGATCTGCCCAAGAACAGTGGGGAGTTCTTATCCATTCTGTTATCCTAGCAACCTGAGGGCGCAGTTCTTTAGATCACTGACAGTGCCGTTCTTCCGGTAAGTTGATCTTTGCTTATCAGCTTTAATAACTTTATTATATGAAATCTCCAACCTTGATGAAGTAACAATGACTCACTAACTGTGATGTGACTAATTAACAATTGTGACTAATTGTTAATTAGTCACACCACAGTTACACAACAGTTAGTGAGTTATTTCTTAAAATAAGAAAGTCTCCACAGTCTCGCTCTGTCTCCCAGGCTGGAGTGCAGTGGCGCAATCTTGGCTCACTGCAACCTCCTGGGTTCAAGCGATTCTCCTGCCTCAGCCTCCTGAGTAGATGGGATTACAGGTGCGTGCCACTACGCCTGGCTAATTTTTGTACTTTTAGTAGAGGCAGAGTTTCCCCATGTTGGTCAGGCTAGTCTAGAACTCCTGACCTCGTGATCCACCTGCCTCGGCCTCCCCAAGTGCAGGGATTACAGGAGTGAGGCACTGTGCCCAGCCTCATTCCACAAACTTTTATTGTGCACTCACTATGGGCTGGGAGCTACACTAGGGACTGGTGACATGAAGACAGGTGACACGGTCCCTGGGCTCAAGATAAAGACACGTGTGCAAACAAATGAAATATGATCCTTTCGGCCGGAACCGCCATCTTCCAGTAATTCGCCAAAATGACGAACACAAAGGGAAAGAGGAGAGGCACTCAATACATGTTCTCTAGGTCTTTTAGAAAACATGGAGTTATTCCTTTGGCCACGTATATACGAATCTATAAGAAAGGTGATATTGTAGACATCAAGGGAATGGGTACCATTCAAAAAGAAATGTCCCACAAATGTTATCATGGCAAAATTGGAAGGCTCTACAATGTTACCCAGCATGCTGTTGGCATTGTTGTAAACAAACAAGTTAAGGGCAAGATTCTTGCCAAGAGAATTAATGTGCGTATTGAGCACATCAAGCACTCTAAGAGCCGAGATAGCTTCCTGAAACATGTGAAGGAAAATGATCAGAAAAAGAAAGAAGCCAAAGAGAAAGGTACCTGGGTCCAACTGAAGCGCCAGCCTGCTCCACCCAGAGAAGTGCACTGTGTGGGAGCCAATGGGAAGGAGCCTGAGCTGCTGGAACCTATTCCCTATGAATTCATGGCATAATAGGTGTTTAAAAAAAAAAAAAAAAAAAAAAAAAAAAAAAAAAAAAAAAAAGACCTCTGGACTGTTTAAAAAAAAAAAAAGAAATATGATGTGATATGTGCTCTAATGGTGCTAAGGATAAAAGGATAAGGGGTAAGAAAAAGCAGAAACAATCTGTCTGACTGGGAGAATGCAGAAATGTGTCACAGAGTCCCTAACACTGGAGCTGAGAATGAGAAAGAGCATGAGCTGGCTAGGTGACACACAGGAGGAGCATATTCCAACGTAGGACACTGGGAAATTGGCCAAAATATAGCTTATTATGTAACTAAGTATGAGAGAGTTTAGACCGGACACTTCCGGGTTAGTCACACCCTTAAGTTTTATTTCATCTTATAGGCAGTGGAGAGTCTCTGCAGGATTCTGAGCTCCGTGGTCCCATCATCAGAGTTATGTGTGGCAGTAGTACCAACCTTTCTGGCACCAGGGATGGGTTTTGTGGAAGACTATTTTTCCGCGGACGGGAGAGGGTGGTTTCGGGATGATTGAAGCACATTACATTTATTGTGCACTTTGTTTTCAGTGGGAGCCCTGAGCTTGTTTTCCTGCAACTATATGGTCCCTATATGGGGGTGAGGAAGACAATGACAGATCATCAGGCATTAGATTCTCATAAGGAGTGTGCAACCTAGATCCCTTGAGTGTGCAGTTCACAATAGGGTTTGTGCTCCATGAGAATCTAACGCTGCCTAATCTGATAGGAGGCGGAGCTCTGGCGGTAATGCAAGCAATGAGGAGCTGCTGCAAATACAGATAAAGCTTCACTAGCTCACCCACTAGTAGCTCATCTGTTGCTGTGTGGCCTGGTTCCTAACAGGCTACAAACAAGTTCAGTCTGTGCCCTGGGAGTTGGAAACCCCTAGTGTATGGGAAAGACTACTCTGCAGCAATGTGGACAAATAGGATGAGGGTGAGCTCTCAGGGAAGACAGGGACAGATAGCAGGGCTGTTTAAAAAGGAGGATAGATGGATGGGCGCAGTGGCTCACGTCTGTAATCGCAGCACTTTGGGAGGCCAAGGCGGCAGATCACGAGGTCAGGAGTTCGAGATCAGCCTGACCAACATGGTGAAACCCCATCTCTGCTAAAAATACAAAAATTAGCCAGGCATGGTAGCACCCATCTGTAATCCCAACTACTCAGGAGGCTGAGGCAGGAGAATTGCTTGAACCTGGGAGGCAGAGGTTGCAGTGAGCCAAGATAGTGCCATTGTACACACCAGCTGGGAGACAGAGGGAGACTCTGTCAAAAAAAAAAAAAAAGGATAGACAGGGCTTGGGGATTCGTGGATGGGTAGGTAAGGAAGGAGGAGTCTAGCGTGACTCTCACTAACTTGGACCAGCAGGGGAATGGCTGTGACAATAAACAAGACTGGGAAAACAGGAAAGTGAGCACATTTAGAGGGGAAAATGAATTCCCTTTTTGGCATGGCGTGGAGGGCTTGGCAGAGAGGTTTAGACATCAGGTGTTAACATGAGGTGAGATAGCTGAAGTCATGGGTGTGGTGAGGTTTTGCAGGAAGAGCGGGGACCTCAGGAAGGCCAGTGCATAAGGGAGAGTAGAGAAAAAAGAACCGGAAAAAGACAAGGAGAGGTCAGAGAGGTGTGCAAAGAACCAGGGAAGAGAGATATTTGTTTGTTTGTTTGTTTGTTTATTTATTTATTTATTTATTTATTTATTTATTTTCGAGACAGGGTCTCACTCTGTTGCCCAGGCTGGAGTGCAATGGCTTGGCTCGCTGCCTCCTCTGACTCCCAGGTTCAAGCAATTCTCCTGCCTCAGCCTCTCAAGTAGCTGAGATTACAGTCACATGCCACCACGCCTGGCTACTGTTTGTATTTTTAGTAGAGAGGGGGTTTCACCGTGTTGGTCAGGCTGGTCTGGAACTTCTAACCTTGTTGTCTGCCCACCTTGCCCTCCCAAAGTGCCGGGATTACGGGCCTGAGCCACCGGGCCTGGACGAGAGTTACTAACAACAAACAAAAGAGGGGAAAGTTTTAGCGAAGGAGCTGGGCTCCAGGTGGGGCAGGAGTAGGTGGCCATGGTTGAGCAGCAGTGGCCTTCAAATCGGGCCGGGTAGGAGATGATGGGTCAGATTGGTCAGTCCTCTCCAGGACACTGAAAGCCGCAAAGGCGTGAGTGGATGCTAGTGGAGGGATAGATGTTGCGGAAGCTGAGTCAGATGCTAAAATCTTCCATACATGGGTCTGAAATGACCAGGGGAAGTGAAAGCGGAGGCTGCTGTCTCCTGGTGGCCTGGGAAGGGCCAAGAGCCAGGGAGCTCTCCCCGTGCCTCCCAGCCCAGAGTTGGAGGGAGAAGAACCTGCGACCACAGCACAGGGCACTGTAGGGGAGGCAGGGCTCGAGGGAGATAGCGCCGCACTCCGGGATGGCCAGAGAAAGCGACGGGGTGTGTCGCAAGGCACAGTGTGGGATGAGTCACCGACAGCAAGGCACGGATCCCAGGAAGGGTGGGGAGACGAGCCGGGAAGGGCTTGCATCGGGTGTGTGAGCCGAGGTACACCCAGAAAAAAAGGGGCTCGAGGCTACTGAAAGCAACAGGCACGGCCGGTCCTGCCAAGAAGCTACTTCCTGCGTGGAGTAGGGGACTCCGGGCCAACCCCTATCCCCGGTCCTCCCGGGACGAGGGGACTGCGGGAGCTGCGGAGGGGGGCTCCGCCAGGGAGGACGGTTCCAGGGTCCCTCGGCCGCCGCCCACTCCCGGGGGCGTTCCTTCCTCCCAGCTGGGCACGAAGCGTCTGCTGTCTGGCAAGAGCCCGCCCCTCTGCGCACAGCCCGCTGCAGCCAAGTGCGCCTGGGTGCCCTCTGCCGAGCAAACAGCCCACGGTCGGCGCCGCCCTGCTCCCTGGCGGCGGAGCGCTTGCGCGACCCGGCTCGGCACGCCTGGGAGGGGTCCAGGAGAACGCGGCTGGGACACGGGGGCTCTCAGGGTCGGGCTCTGTGTGGTGAGGCTGGGGCCCGCGGGGGACCGGGCTGGGGCGAGAAGGCTCTCAGGGCTTCTTGCAACAGAATGTTTCGATGCTGTTTTTAATTCTACAAATGTAAGCCTCTCCACTAAATCCAAGGTCAGCCCAGAGGGCTGTTCTGTAATACATACACAGTTCAAAAACGTTGCAGATATAATATGTGTCCTTGTAACGAACTCAAGCAATCCAGAATTACAGAAAGTACAGAATGGATTATACTTCTCCTTTCTCCCCCAGACGTCCTTACATACATTAAGATGTGTATATATGGAAATGTTACCGGGAGTCCTGGTTATCCCAAAAGGAGTTCTTTCCTGCTGTGTGGCGAGGCCAATCCACTAAACCGAAAGTGAGTGTCAAGCAGTGCAGGCTTCATTCAACGGCTATGGAATTGCAAGATCTGAAATCAGCTCACCTTGTGAGAGCTGGGAAGCTGCAGACGTAACTTTCTTTAATGAAGGGAATGGGCCTTAAGAGCAGATGCGGGAATATTTATGCTTTTCTTGGGAAAGGACGGAGATTTTCCAGGAATCAAGAAACCCCTTTTTTTCTGTCCCTTCTTGGTCTCTTCCAGTCGTTGTCATGGTGACTGTCAATTATCATGGCGCTGGTGGGAGTGTCACTTAGCATGAAAATAGGATGATAATGAAGCTGGAGATTCTTGAGAGGTGCCATCTTGGATTTCGCCAGCTTCAGCTGGTTTCTTCCTAAGAAGGAACTTCTGAACACAGGCATTCTGTTTTCTGAAAATAAGCAGAGTTAAAGCTGAGGAGGAATGTAGCTCTGTCACCTATGCTATCGCATTGGGCAACAAAAGCAAGGTGGGGGGTTCAGCGAAGTCACGCAGGCACTGCAATGGGTAACAGTCTTAGCTACATTTATGCAGCATTTTTACAAAAATGAAACCGTACTATCTGTAAAGGAAGTTATGCTAACAAACAACAAAACAAGCAGGCACCGAGACTCCTGACATTTTTATTTATTTAAAAATAAAATAGTTTTATTTTTCCCCGACAACAAATGAGATTAACAGAGCATGATTATCATCTACGGGGACCCTTTCAAAAAGACAGGCTGAGGGAGGAAACTGCCACCAGGGAGTAGGGCGGCGCGGACCGTGGGCTGCTGGCTCCGCCCAGGGCAGCTAGGCGCACACCGCTGCCTGGGCTGGGCGCAGAGGGGAGGGAAGAAATCGATCCCCCACTTAAAGCTTCTTTATTTAAAAAAGCTTCACACACACACACACACACACACACAGGTGTTCAAGATGACCACAATTTATTTCGCAGTCATTCTTTGCACTAGTTCTCAATTTGAGTCTGTTTTTCCCACTAGTGTGTAAGCTCCATGACTCCAGGAGACCAGGGGATCAGGGTGTGTTTTTGCTGAGAAATGAGTCCTTTATACCCCAAATAGTGACTGACACAGAGAAAGTACTCAGTAAACACTTTTTTAAAAAAATTGTACTTTAGGCCGGGCGCGGTGGCTCAAGCCTGTAATCCCAGCACTTTGGGAGGCTGAGGCGGGTGGATCACGAGGTTGAGAGATCGAGACCATCCTGGTCAACATGGTGAAACCCCGTCTCTACTAAAAATACAAAAAATTAGCTGGGCATGGTGGCTCGTGCCTGTAATCCCAGCTACTCAGGAGGCTGAGGCAGGAGAATTGCCTGAACCCAGGAGGCGGAGGTTGCAGTGAGCCGAGATCGCGCCACTGCACTCCAGCCTGGGTAACAAGAGTGAAACTCCGTCTCAAAAAAAAAAAAAAATTGTACTTTAGGTTCTGGGGTACTTGTGCAGGTCATGCAGGATTGTTGCATAGTTACATACATGGCAATGTGGTTTACTGCCTCCATCCCCCCGTCACCTATATCTGGCATTTCTTCCCATGTTATCTCTCCCCAACCTCCCCACTCAGTGCTGTCTCTCCCCTCCCCCAACAGATCCCAGTGTGTAGTGCTCCCCTCCCCGTGCCCATGTGCTCTCATTGTTCAACACCTGCCTATAAGTGAGAACATGCAATGTTTGATTTTCTGTTCTTGTGTCAGTTTGCTGAGAATGATGGTTTCCAGATTGATCCATGTCCCTGCAAAGGACATGAACTCATCATTTTTTATGGCTGCAGAGCATTCCATGGTGTATATGTGCCACATTTTCCTTGTCCAGTCTATCATCAATGGGCATTTGGGTTGGTTCCAGGTCTTTGCTATTGTAAACTGTGCCACAATGAACATACGTGTGTATGTATCTTTATAATAGAACAATTTATAATCCTTTGGGTATATACTCAGTAATGGGATTGCTGGGTCAAATGGAATTTCTATTTCTTTTTTAAAGGAATGCCTGCCTGACTGAATCTTAATTATCTGAGGCTTCTAGGTTACTTTTCTTCTTTTATTGTTTGTTTAAAATATATTATGTTTAAGACCTTCTAACTGGTCAGCCTCCAAGATAGTGTTGTGCTGGGCTTACTTTTGGTTTCCATGATCCCAATTCACTTGTTGCTTATTTCTCTTTTGACTTCACAATGATACACAACTTTTAATTTGTTAGAACATAAACATATGGGATTTTTTCCCCATTATAATGTGAGACGTGACAGAGACAAAATGTTTCTTAAAGACATAAAATAATTACATAAATTGTAATAAAATAATTATGACAATTTTCTATCTTTGGCTAAGGCATAGAACCATTCTTTAATCCTAAATGAGGTTGGGCATGGTGGCTGTTAACCACCCCAGCACTTCGGGAGGCTGAGGCTGGCGGATAACTTGAGGCCAGGAGTTGGAGACCAACCTGGCCAACATAACGAAACCCTGTCTTCTAAATATAGACACAAAAAAAAATTTAGCTGAGTGTGGGGCAAGCACCTGTAGTCCCAGCTATTCAGGAAGCTGAGGCACCAGAATCACTTGAACCAGGGACGCAGAGGTTGCAGCGAGCCGAGATATAGCGCCACTGCCCTCCAGCCTGGGCAACAGAGCAAGACCCTCTCTCAAAATAAATTAAATACATAAATACGTAAAATTCTAAACTATAGGACCAAGATTTGATCCAGAAAAGAGACTTTCTTGTACTAATTTATACACTGTTCGTGTCAGATCCCATCTTTCTTTTATTTGATGAATCTGGAAAAGCAACTCAGAATAATTCAACCAGTCTAAAATTAGAATAACAGCTGATGAGATTACCAATAAGCAGTTTTGTGTTAGTATTTTTTTAAATTATATATATATATTTTATATATTTTATTTTTATTTATTTATTTATTTTGAGACGGAGTTTCGCTCTTGTTACCCAGGCTGGAGTGCAATGGCGCGATCTCGGCTCACCGCAACCTCCGCCTCCTGGGTTCAGGCAATTCTCCTGCCTCAGCCTCCTGAGTAGCTGGGATTACAGGCACGCGCCACCATGCTCAGCTAATTTTTGTATTTTTAGTAGAGACGGGGTTTCACCGTGTTGACCAGGATGGTCTCGATCTCTCAACCTTGTGATCCACCCGCCTCAGCCTCCCAAAGTGCTGGGATTACAGGCTTGAGCCACCGCACCCGGCTTATATATATATTTTATACAGGGTTTCACCATGTTAGTCAGGCTGGTCTTGAACTCCCAACCTCAGATGATCCAGTCGTCTTGGCCTCCAAAGTGCTCGGATTACAGGCACGAGCCACCACACCTGGCTGTTTTAGTATTTTTAAAAGAAATTAGAAAAACATGATTTTAGGGGAGATCTTAGTATTATTAAGAATATCTTCTCATAGTTAACAGCATACATAACATATAAGTTAGAAATATACTCTGCTAGCTCACAAGATACTTTAAAGCAGGGATTTTGGTGTCACTAAACTTTTATTTAAAATGTTATTTTAATACCTTTTTTTTTTTTAACTTTGGAATAACTTCAGATTCACAGAGAAGCTGGATAATACAGGTAGTTACCATATGCCCCTAACGCAGTTTCCCCTAATGGTAACAAACTACCATGGTGGTGTTGTGAATTCTTACAATGTTTGGTTGCCTTCACATCCATTTTGAATATTCATTGGACTTTCCTGTACCAAAATCAAGGCTCAATCACCGTGGACAAAGTTGTCAGTTCTCCATCTTCTCCCAGTTCCTTTATATGGTGGATGCAGATATCTGCCTCATACAACTACCTCCCGTTGACCACTTCCCTGTGGCACAGCTGTATACAACCTACTGGCCACACTGACCCTCACACCCCAAGAATGTGCAGATATGTCCCAGGGATCACCATTAATTCTCTGGGTGGCCTCCTTGAACTCATGCCTGCCTGGGAAACCTGTTTGGATAACACCCTGGACCCAATAAAGTTGTTGGCCCATGAGTCCCTCTCTTGTTCTTCCTGCACTCCCTGATTTCCATGAATCTGGCCTCCAAGTGTGCCATGTATCCCAGGACCTATAAGCAATAAACTGTTTCTTTTCTTTTCTTTTCTTTCTTTCTTTCTTTCTTTTTTCTTTTCTTTTCTTTTCTTTTTTTTTTTTTTTTTTTTTTTTTTTGATAGAGTTTCCCTCTTGTTGCTCAGGCTGGAGTGCAATGGCACGATCCTGGTTCACTGCACCTTCTGCTCCTGGGGTCAAGCCATTTCCCCAGCCTTAGCCTCCCAAGTAGCTAGGATTACAGGCATGTGCCACCACTTCCAGCTAATTTTGTATGTCTAGTAGAGATGGGGTTTCATCATGTTGGTCAGACTGGTCTCTAACTCCTGACCTCAGGTGATCCACCTTTCTCAGCCTCTCAAAGTGCTGGGGTTACAAGCGTGAGCCACTGTACACAGACAATAATAAACTATTTCTATCCTGTGTCTCCTAATCATTGTAGGGGTGCTCAGCATCTTGAAGATCTTAAAGTAAAATTGATACATTTGTGGAAACTAAGATGCCTACATTGTTACATTACTATTAACTCCAGACTTCATTTGAGTTTCATAGTTTTTTCATTTATATCAACCTAAATATTTTCAAAATAGCATAAAAGAAAGATTTAATTTTACAGCGGTAATTTTTGAACAAACAGACAATATTCTTGAGAAACTGCTTGTTTATCAATTACACCGTTAACTTTATATTATATCAATATGCCTGAGAAAGCAGGCCTT